TTAATTATTTACGGCAAACGAACATCAAATGAGAAATTTTATAAAGCCTCAGTTTTTAGTCATTAAATTAATGCTCTTTACATAATTGAATAGAACACAATGTACCAAGCTCAAGGTTGGGATCTTGGTACTGACTGGTTGTCAAATAACTGTTTATTGAATATTTAATTTGTTAATATACTGTACAGTATATTTTTTTTTCAAGTTTTATAATAATTGAAAATTTGTGTATCTTTCTTTATTTTGACTTACGTTTTTTCTTTTTTCCCACATTATTAATTTGCCCAATTTCTGTTTAATCTTACTTATGCGGTTTGAAACATGAGTTGGAGTTTGTAGTACTGGCTATTGCTCATCATTGTATACTACGTATTGTATTTCAAAATACAGTATACTTTATACTTGCGTATAACCGTAAATTGTATTAATGACTTTATATTCGTGATTAAATGTTTGCTACTACGATATGCAACCCTGAGGTGATTTTCTCTTCTGTAACTTAAATGTCATCAATCGCTATATATATTCGTTATACAAGTTCCTTCGCAATCTCATTAAAAACTCATCATATGCCGTTTGTAGTACACCCGCCCACGAGGTAGGATGAATTGGAACTGCCCAATTATTGTGCCAATGATAGGCAAACGACCCTGGAAAAAACCCCTCTGGCTTTCTCACGTCTAACGGTGATTGAGTACGGTTATTCGATCTCAATTCTCCAGGTATCAGAGCTGGGTTGAAAAAATCTTGTAATTTAGTTAGATTTGGGATCAGTTCATGGTCAATCTGTCGCCCATCTTCTCTCAGCCATAGCGGATCAAACAATCCCACGGGCAACATGTATAACTGTCGGTCGATTTTTTCCATGGTGTAATTTTCAGGCGTAGACAGATATTCCATTATACGATGCGGGTGGAATGTCATATTGTTTTTAATTGCGCGCTCTATTATTCTCCTAGATGTTGGACTATGTCGTCGAAGTCGTAGTATAGCGGTATTGTATCCTTTAGTGTAACTCCAACGGTAGGAGAATTCAAAATTCGCATAATATAGGGGACGCATGTCTCTCATTAAAAGCACATCAGCATCGACGTATATACCACCGTATTTATAAAGTATCACAAATCGTACCATATCGCTTAAGGTCACTGAATTTTGATTATCAATTTGACCAGAAAACATGCTAATTGAGGAGAGCTGTTTTCTAGTATTCCACGATTTGAATCTGATGATGGTAGGAACAAATCTGTGCAGCAAACGCATATGTGGATCATATTTAGGATAGAGATTATTGTAACTGGTGTCCAACCATACATAAAGAATGGAACAGTTGAGAGGTTGACTGAAAAGGAAGGATTTCATCATAAATGCTAATTTGTCGTTAATTGGACCCTGCCAGAATACGTGAAACAACATCGGAGGGTAATCTCTGCTACAAATTGGCGGTGGGGAGGACACACCTTTAATAGAGTTGTGAGGAAGGATGTAGTCTGATTCGTTATTGTCAAGGTACCGGAGGCATTGTATAACTGGGATGGATTTTATGTTGCCACAATGTTTTTCTATACGATCAAAACTAGCAGAATGATTTTGGGCAGGACGCCGACGAGTATTGGACGTGAAGGGTGGAATGTTCGATGTAATGTCTGACGAAGAGTTAATAGAAAAAGTAAAGAGGGAATTATTCAAGTTATTTATGCAGTATAGAAAAATGACAACTATCGCAAAGATGAGTATTATGTGTAAATATTTATTATGAAGTTCTCGAGTATATGCCGCCAGCTTGCTTCTGAACGTATTTGATTTATGTCGTTCCATTTTGCAAAACGATGAGAACGAAAAAATTCCTCTCTATATTTATGGTATTGCAATTGCCTAAAGACTAAGACATATTGATCAAGTATTTGTCGCACGGTTTCTAATTAATGAGACATTATTATGAAAAGCTAACATGTACGCGGAGCAAATCGAAACTATGTTCACGTGATTGTTGCACATATCGGGCCTTGTCACGTATATTATCTTGTGTTTGAACGCAAGAGAATCTCGCATTCGCTACTGTATCTTTATCTGTTATGCATACTACCAATTTTAGTAATACAACGGGATCAACTGGTTTGCTTGTTAGCAAATTTTCTCATATGTACAAAATGTGATGTAAATTTCGTGAAGAGAATAATATTTACGTATATGGCTTAAAAATAATAATTATCATCATCAAATGAAACCTAATAATTACATAATAATAATTTTCGAGTTGCGCGAAATATTCACTGTTTTTGAGGAAAAAAAAAAATAACTCGTCGATATCAAAAAGATAAAGAATGTTTAGTATACGTATAGGTCTGTGATGTTATTGCTAATAATTTTTTTTTCGGGTTGTTTACTTTGCAAATAAAGTTATTTACCTACGAAATATTAATTAATCTATGACACGTGATAATTTTAATATTTATGTATTGGTATTTGTTTAATCAATCATTTTATTTTTTCAAAAGAAATTTTTTATTATTAAAATTAAAAATTAGTTTAATCTCAAAAAACTTAATTGCAAAACAAAAAAAATTTTTGTTAATTCTTTGATTATATACGAAAAATATATATTGCTGTATTAAAATTGTATATTATCTTTTCTTTTTCGTTTATATTTTCTTTAATAATTAAAAAAAAAAAAAATTTTTTTCAATAACTATTTACAAACATATATTTAATATTTTTTTCATGCAAATAAGTTTCTTATTATATAAAAAGAAATTAAAAAAAAATTAAAAATTTTTTTCAATATACCGGTCAAGTAAAAATCTTAGAGTAATCTTCCTTTCATTTTAGTTAAACCACGAATTTAAAAATAATTTTAAAAAATAAACATAAATAAAGTTTGAAATAAATATATTATTTGTTAATTATATAAGAACATATACCTTTGAATATTATATAAAAATAATCAATCAATATAATCTTATAAAAAAAAATAAATAAAACTAAATTATATAACATTCAAAATTCATCATAATCATAAAGTAATAGCTAAGGTTTATAAATAAATAAAAAATTTTGAACCAATAATAAATTTATAAATTATAAAAATTATAAATTTTTAATAAAAAAAATTCCGATGATAGATTTTTAATAATATGCAATGATATTTTTTTTAAAGTAAAAAATAAATATGAATTTTTTTTAAAATAAAAAATAAATATAAATTTTTTTTAAAATAAAAAATAAATATGAATTTTTTTTAAAATAAAAAATAAATATGAATTTTTTTTTTGCAAAATGATTTTTTAAAAAAATAATTGTAAATCTATATATATAAGATTTTAACTGTCTGTCCATTTTTTGCAATATGATTGATCAATAATTGTATCACGTACCTTATAACCTAACAATTATTTATATCCATTTTCATGTTAATATCACCGGAACCATTAACAAATATAACTTATATTGATGTATACTAACTTTAATAATAATAAAGGCATAAAAGAATCACTTTAACATTTTTTAATTTTATATTAATAATTGGATAAATTTTAATTAGAATTACATTATAATATTAAAGAAGATGTAAATATTGAAGTTCCAAAATCAATACATGTCTAATTCAGTATTATCAAGAATCTACAATTAATATATCCATAGTCTTTCATTTTCGTATTATGCCACAAGTTTTTTTATATTATTCACGATACATCAGCATCACCTAGAATGTCATACGTGATCCATTGTGTTTGATTACATAGCCTTCATAAACTTTTCATTTTCTTAACTTCGCATATAACATATTGTCCTATAAAATAAGAAAAAAGAAACTGAAGTTTCAATATTAATTAAAGTATCAATAAAACACTTTGTGCTCTATACTTTGCCTATTCAAAGTACTGTCTAATTTGATACCACCTGAATCTATGTATTAATATACTCTTATAACCTTTATAAACTTTTCATTTCTTAACTTTATATCATGCTGCATATAGATTTTCAATGCTACCATGACACATCAGCGCCACTTAAGAGAATGTCATATATAAATTATTGTGTCTTACATATGTTTACATAGCCTTTATATACTTTTCATTTCTTTAACTTCGTATATAACATCGTCCTATAAAACAAGAACAAAAGACTAAAGCTTTAATATCATTTAAACTATCAATAAAACACTTTGTGCTTTATACTTTGCCTGTTTAAAGTGCTGTCTAATTCAACGTCACATGAATCTATGTATTAATATATTCTCATAGCTTTTATAAACTTTTCGTTTCCTTAACTTTATATCATACCACATATGCTACCATGACATGTCAGTATCACCTAAGAGAATGTCGTTTATAAACCATCGCATCTTATATATGCTCACATAGCCTTCATAAACTTTTCATTTCCTTAACTTCGTATATAACATCATCCTACAAATAAGAACAAAAGGTTGAAGTTTCAATATCATTTAAACTATCAATAAAACACTTTGCGTTCTATACTTTGCCTGTTTAAAGTGCTGTCTAATTTGGGCCACCCAAATCTACATATTAATTATACTCTCATAACCTTTATAAACTTTTCGTTTCCTTAACTTTATATCATGTCACATAAAGATTTTCAATACTACCACAATGTATCGTATAACGAATCCACGCCTGCCCCCATCAATTTTGTGTAAGTATACATGACTCTGTGTGACTATGGATCCAAAGTCCGTTCTGTCTACTATTTTTGAACTCTTCGCATAACATCATCTGAGATCATCTTTAGCGATCCCAGGCTGAGTGCCTTTCATTATAGTCAATTTGTCTTGTTTTCCCGGAATAAAAATTAGTCCTGTAAACAGTAGTAGCGCGAATCAATAGATTTCTTTCATTATTATTATTTTTCTTTTTGTTTTTCTTTTTAAGTTATATTATAGCCCCATAAGTCTGGACATTCATTATGTTAAGATTTATGTATTTTTAATTATTATATTTATAAATTTATTTATGTTATTTTAACTAAAAGGTACTTTAGGTCAAATTCTTATATAGAGAGGACAACTTTGTTGTCTTGTTGGCCAAATAACAATTGTTCACTGACTTATTGAAATAAAGTCTTTTACACATCGGTACCATTTGAGAGAATGTCATATATAAATCATTGCATTTCATATATACTCACATAGCCTTCATAAACTTTTCATTTCCATAACTTCGTGACATGCTACATATAACACATCATCCTATAAAACAAGAGCAAAGAAAAGTAAATACTGCTCGCTAACATAGAAAAAGAGCCAGGAAAACTGTTTAACAGCATCAAAAGCAATGCAGAAGAGATGCTGATGTCCGTCGTTAGTGTCGTGCAGAACATCAAAACAATTGTAATGCTGCAGCTTACTACCAATGTAGTGCAAGCAATTCCCAGATGCACAATTTAGCCCATTGCTTTTTTGAAGATACAACTATTTTATACCAAATCAATATTACCAAATACACTACATGTAGTTACTGCAATGCGCTCAAGCTACCCATAGAAAGTTCCAGAATATGTTGCTCTAATGGAAAGGTAGTGTTAGCAGAACCCGAAATTCCCTTACTTCTGCAGAATCTACTTTCCAGTCAAGACAATACCTCAAAGAATTTTTGTGACAAAATCTGTCTTTACAATTCAGCATTCACCTTCACTTCTGTTGGTATCAGGTTTGATCGTGAGCTTGCTAATATGAAATCTGGTGTCTACACCTTTCGTATTCTAGATTCATTCTATCACTGGATTGGTTCACTACTACCGGAGCTTGGTTCTGAATCTCATTATCTACAGATGTATATATGGGACACCCAAAACAAGCTGCATCATCAAGCAAATATCATTTCTAATTCCAACCTTAATCCAGCTATCGTCCAAGCTCTGAAGAAAATGTTTGACGAAATAAATCCATACATTATTAATCTTTGATACATTTCTGACTTACATGTAGAAGATATTTTAAATCTAATTATGCTTATTTATACAGATATTCCTGGACTTGACTAAAGGATTCATAATGCCTCAACAGCTTCGCAAGTAGCAGCAATCTGGATTGATGGTGATGTGCCTCCCGATATAATTCAGAAGCATGATATTGTGTTACATACACAGATGAATCAGCTAATTCACATCTCTGAGCTCAATGGATGTTATAATCCCTTGGTTTATCTGCTTTTGTTTCCTCATGGTGAGCAGGGATGGATTCTCTATCAAATTCTATATAGAGGTATTCCCCTTGCATCTGAAACAACTAATATTTGTGAAGTTCCTAATGACGAAGATAATGATGAAAGTAAAGATGATGCAGAATATAATAATGGAAATAGTAGCATGAAATGGCATAGAAAATTTGTAAGTGCAATGGAGTACTATACATATTGGCTTCAAATTAGGCCTCATTCCACTAATCTGCTTTTACAAGTTGTACAGTTCTTTTAACAATATGTGATCGACATGTATGTCAAAATCGAATCAAATTACTTGAATTTCTATCAGCAAAATTAAGATAAAATCTGAAGTGAATTATATTAAGGCCTTCAGGATGCTGTCTTACATGGTAATAACAATCCAAAATATATTGGTTGTAGAGTAATACTTCCTTTCACGTTTATTGGTGGTCCTCGTGATATGATACAACAGTATCAAGATGCAATGGCTTTACTGTATATTGGCAGGCCTGATTTATTCATTACTATGACATGCAACCCAAACTGATCAGAAATTCAAGCCTTGATGTTGCCCAAACAAAAAATTCAGGATCGACCAGATGTTACAGGTACTTTTTTTTGTGCACTATTTCTTTTTAGCCTATTCATTGTATTGACTTCTCTTTATTTTAATAGTGCAAGTATTTTGGGAAAAGCTTTAAGAATTAAAAAAAGATCTTTTTGAACATAGGGTCCTTAGACATGTCATTGCACACATTCACGTCATTGAATTTCAGAAGCAAGATCTCCCACATGTACATACAGTATCTTAGTTATACTTCACCCAGAAGATAAATTACAAACTCCTAATGACTATGACGCCATTGTCTGTGCTGAGATACCCAACCCAGAACTAAATTTCAAAACATATGTCATGGTTATTGCCAACATGTTACATGGACCATACAAAGAGCTCAATCCCAATGCACCATGCATGATCAATGAAGGTATGGAACAAAAGCGATGTATTAAGGGATACCCTAAACAATTTCAGAATGAAACCCTTCAAGGAAAGAATAGTTATCCTATATACCATCACCAACAAGATGGTCACCACATCAAGCTAAGAGTAGAAGATCAAACAGTTTTATTAGACATCTGATGGGTTGTTCCATATAATAATTTCCTTTGAGCAAAATATAGTTGTCATATTAATGTAGAGATTTGTACTAGTATAAAAGCAACCAAATATTCATTCAAGTATGTTTATAAGGGCCATGATAGAGCAATGATCGAAGTCACTGAGGAACCTCAGCATTATGAAATACCAGTCATAATTAATGAAATTTGAAACTTTATTGAGACCCGTTGAGTTTCAGCTCCAGAAGCTATTTGGCAAATCCTTGAATTTCATATGAGCAGAATGAATCCTACCATCACACGCTTGCAGATACATCTTTCCAACCAACAAAAAATTATCTTCAATGAAAGTAACAATATAGCCGAGGTAATTACTAACCGAAATCAATGAACATCCCTTACTAAGTATTTTATAATGAATGCTCAAGATCCAGATACAAGTAATCTGCTCTATGTTGATTTTCTCTAACAATATACTTAGAATAAGATGATCAAAAGATAGAAGAAATATTAACATGGAAATTGTATTGGGAAAATATTCATGGCTCATCCGAGTGAAGGTAAATATATATAATTTTAATTTATTATTAATAAATGTAAAATAAATAT